GCCTTATACTGATCCAAATGTTCAAACGTCCAAATGCCCCCCCCCCATATATATATCAATAATTGCCTTATATTGTATTCATATTCTGGATGACAGAAAGCACTGTAGAACTTGTGGCACTTCTCTGTATGCCTTTGGAGAGGGGCAGAGGTGCAGTGTGTGTGTGTGTGTGTGTGTGTGTGAGAGAGAGAGAGAGAGAGAGAGAGAATTTGCATGTGTGTATTGTGTGCCAGGTGTCACCCTTTTAAATGTGATTCATGTAATTTGTTTTAGAAAGTGTGAGGATGTAAGGGTACTGTGAAATTCAGAGTCCTGTGTAGCCATGTAGTAAGGAGCAGTGGGTGTCAACATCAATGTTGGGAGTTTCATAAATGGGAGCCACAAAGCAAGTTGATGTTAAGGATTGTGAGACAGTTTACAGAATGCAAACATTTCTAAGAAATGCATAATTATATCTGTAATTATTGTAATTATACATAATTCTTGTTAAATGATCAACATTATTCAAGCCACAGACTCTTGCTGCTTAAAAGAAGTCATTAAAAAAAGCAATGTACATGAGTAGGTTTTGAGAAGCTATCACTAAATGTTGAGTGGTCACTTAGTGCAGTGCATTTTTAAAAATGTCGTTTTAGTGCATTTGACAGACAAAGCTGATTGGTGTTACTGCAAAAATCAACATGACAGTGGCCATAAACGCCTCAGTTTTCTGAGTCACCATTCAAACTGCTGATTTCAGCCATCTCAGGTGTACTGATGTCAGTTACGTTCATACAAAATACAGCAAAGGGCATTTTTTATTTTATTACAACTGTGTTGGCACAATGTTTTAAGCTCTGGATCCAATCATACAAAACATGTAGCAGATTTGTCATCCGTCATTTGTCTGATTTGGCAAGATTTGTTATGCTATGTGAAACGATGTTCAGCTTTGGTAAGTAATGAAAACAGGTGGAGTAGCTTTTCATTTTTCCCCAGTCACACTGTCATAAAAGTTAAAGAGCAGTCAACCTGGAGAATTAGCTGCGTTGTGGATTCCCAGTCATCTTTAGCACAAATTGTTCCCCACTCCTTAAGCTGTTGAGTGTGAACAGGCAGAGTGACTTCTTCAATTGTTAAATCAAACACATGCAATGTAAGTTATATCATGTATGTCTTACTTTTCTTGTTTATTGATTTGCTGCCAGTTGAGATTTTAAATATTTTCAAATAAAGGGCATGGTGAGACTGCATGGGTGCCCAGTGGAAACTACTTTCATTGGTGACTTTATAGTCCATGATGGTGTGTGAACTGAAATAGAAACATTCTGATGTGCCAAAGGTGCCAAACTTCACAAAATGTCACACTATTCTACAAGAAAGTTTTAAAAATAGCCTTTCTTAATATATCCACAAGATAATGCAAGAAATGGCAAAAATAAATAATAAATAAATGTGATTTTATTTTGTAATGTGTCATGCACTCTTTTGGACAAAGAGGATGAGTGAACTATCTATAAGTGATGATGTTGTGCTTGCTTTAACTTGTAAATAGATGCTTTGTAATGCTATACACTCAATGCTGTACACTCAGATGGTTTCAGCAGTCCAAATCACCGCAGCAGCCTCCACTAATCTGCACTAGATTTCAAAACATGGCCTCCTGGCTCTGAAGAATGTATCTCTGTTAATGAATGTTTCTGACTGTACATACCTATGTCATGACATACTATTTATTAATCTACAGGATGTATACTAATTAAAAGAGAAAAAATTATTAATTTTCTTTAATTTTTTCTATGTTCTGTCTATGAATATCTTCTACTGGGTAATGTATCTGTTGATAAAGTCTTGTAAAAGTAAAAAAAGGAAAAACTCAATTCCTCTTTGCTTTTCTTTAGTAAACATCTGTATTCTTCATGCAAGCTGGCACACACTTGACAATCAGTTAGCTTTTTGTCTCCAACAGGTGTGAGTTATTCACTTCAATCAGAGAGATTTGTGAAACTAACAAACCATTTAACACTACCCTTCCACCCCCATCAAACATAATTGAAGGAAAGTCTACACCACACAGAACAGACACACACTGCACCTTCACAGGGCCTGTAATCTTGTCCTTATGTGACCCTGCTATGTCCCATTATGTAATGTTTGTCTCAGTGGGGTGTAATAGATTGCAATCTTAACGCGGAGACACAGCAGTGTGTCATCTCAGTTTTTTTGTGGCCACAACCACCACTCCATAACCTAATACAGCTTCAAAGAAAGTAGGTTCTGCCCTTAGATACCATACAAGGCTTAAAGGACCCCTCAGTCACCTCTGAGGTACTCTCAGGTACCGGATCAAACCATAGACAACAAAATGTCCAGCAGAGGTTTGTGAAAACCTGTAGGAAAGAGCACAAGAATAGATCTGTGAGTCTGAACTCAATCAACAGAACATTTAAAAGATTAAAAGATAAAATCCAAAGTGAATTCATTCAATGAAAGCTGGGTTGGTACCTCATAGAAGATAGTTAGTGGGTGGTGAGGAGAAGAAGGGGTGTGAAATAGCAGGGATGAGGCTGAGAGGTCTCGATCAAAAAAATGTGCAATGAAAATAGACGATAAAACAAAAGGTTAAAGAAGAGCTTAATCAGTGAGTCAGACATCATGATCATTTATTTTGATGTAGGCTGTGCAGTAGAGAGTGCATTTATTACCTTTAGATAAAGAGGAGGAGGGTGGAATTGAAGTAGAGTGTGCCTGTACTTGCAGTAACGTATTTGGTGTATCAGATAGCTGGTGTGCAAACAGAGGCAGGCATGTACACCTTGCACATTGTTGTGCATGTGCACCCTCACAGCAGCTTAAATTTATTTAGTGCTGGAAATGTTCGACAGGGGTCTCAGTTTGTTCAGACTTACAATAACAACACGTTAAAGAATCTGTAATGGTGCAGAATGCCAGAGGTGCTCTGGGTTCAGATCGGGTCATAACATTGACAACATTTGCCACGTTCACAATCCTAGATTAGAGTTTTAGCATTCTTACTCTTTGTTAATTAGCACTACACATAAAGTACAGCTGAGTCTGGTGGGAATGTCAGCTTTAAGGGCATTTGGCCATAAACCAAAGTACTGGACACATTTAAAATGTACTTGATGGTGCTAGATGAAAAGATAAGGTATCACCAAAGCGGTGGAAATCTATTTAATATTTGATGCAACATTTCACTTACTGTAAAAGCACAAATAGGAACCTTGTGATGGAGCTAGGGGAAAACAATCTGGGCATAACCAAAGTAATTATAGGCTTCGTCCTCTGGGGATCATGAATGTGTGTATAAAATTGCATGGCAAGCCAGAGATATTTTTAATCTGAACTAAAGTGGTGGTCCTTTTCGACTAACTAACCAACCTTGCTAATGTCACCCCTAGAACCACGATTTAAATAAATACATCTGGTATTACTGCAGATACTCAAACGCACGATTCAGAAACAGGATTGTGGTATAAATCACATTATTTGCCAAAACAGGTTCGGTACACAAATTAGAGAAAGGCAAACAAATCATGCATTGAGATGACTAAGATAAGGTCAGGTAAAATAGCCACATCCAAAAAAACTGGTAACGCTAATTGCAAGAAAACAAGGCTAGACACTGGATACTAAGGCGAACTTGACATGTGAATGAGGGGAACACATAAACTGAATACGACAGAGAGGGGAGGATAATGAAGGACAGGTGAAACCAATCAATGTTGAGGCAGACAGTCACACACAGGAAACACACAAAGGCAGGAATAAAGTGATCTGTAAGGAGAGAAGAGGTGAGTAACACAATTAAACAGGAAACACTGAAGGAATGAATGACCATTGAAAACATAACCTGGGAAGCAGAGTGGGATGTATCAACATCAAAATCAATGACCATAAAGGGATATTTATGTATACAATGGTGTTCTGATGATTCTCCACTGGGGAAATGTAGATTCCTTCACCGCAAATCAGAAGCCTGGACTGGATTTGCAGTATCACAAACAACCAGATCACGTAGGTCTCTCTCCATACAGTTATTATGTTAAGTCTGATCTTTCGATTGCCTTCATCATCTTCTCTGCTGACATCAGTGGAGCACAGCCTGGTTTTGTTTGCTGTTGCCCATCTGGTATCAAGTTTAACAGGTTCTGTGCTCTTCAGTCTCCTGCACATCATCCTGTTTTTAACTTGCAGACTTCACGCCCACAAAAGTACATTACATGATTGGATTTTTTGGCAGATTGCGCTGTTGTTCTTGGTAAACTTTAGATAATACTGTTGGTGAAAATCCAAGAAAGTTGTCTGCTTTAAACATACAAGACCTGGTGCATCTGACACCACATTCAGTTAGTTAAATTGTGCTTCTTGTCCAACAATTCAAGCTTAATTTTAGAAAGGCAAGAGTGAGTTAGTGGAACAGTGTTGTTTTGCTCTTACCTATTAAATCATTCACTTTCCACACCAGTGTACATGCACCAACGATCACACAAAAAGGTCAAAAGACTAATATTCCCTGTTGTCCCTGGGTTGCTGCAGGGTGAGCGGAGTTGAGCATGCAGAGCAGCAGTCTCTCTCTGGTTGACCTCAGGTTCAGCAATAGCATGTGTGAAATACCCTTTCCAGCTATGTGGCTAGACACTATCAAGGCCACTGGAGAGTAAATCCAGCACTGACACATCTTCACACAGACACATTCACACTGATAGTCCAGCCTAAACTGACACACTTATTCTACATCTTATGCAAATCTTGAAGATAAAAAAATACTGCTACACAACAGTACAGTAAATTGAGTGAAATAGATTTTTAGCAGTGGCTATACTGCTAATTTGCAAACCAAAAATCTGTCTATTTAGCTATCGTATAACACAGTATCTAATATGTTTACCTGTAGAAAGTGTAAATTATGTTTTTATATCATACACTGTAGCAGTACATAATACTGCTACTGTGTAGTGCTGATGAATAATGACACACAATAAAACACACAGGTTGAATCAAAGTCAGAAAAAAAATCAAAACATTTATTGGGCATAAATATATTATATATACGCTACCGATACAGTTACGTCTTACATACATAGGGTAGTATTTGCAAAAATCTATACATTAAAATTGATATGGCAGTTTCTTTTATATAATGCATATGAAATTGTCTAACATTTACAATACAAGAAGAAATGCATGAATTTCTTTTTTTTTTTTCAATTCGTAGACCATGACAACATTGGAATGTTTGTTTTTATATCGTGAGGTAAAAATATGTTTCTTTTTGTCTTGCTTAAAAAATAGTTAAATACCTGTGAGTCTCTGTATGTTTGTCAAATCGCCAAATTCTGAAAATCTCTACTTACTGTAAAACGTACAAAACATAACAAAAAAAAAATAATTAAAAGAAGAAAATAAACTGATCAGAAGGCACAGACGTGGAGTTGCTGGACAAAAAATTGTCTCTCATTCCTGACATGCCTGCCAAATGAGCAGGACCTGCAGGGTGGGTGGGTAGGAAGGGCGGGGTGTGTATAAAATCACCAGCATTTGAAAATGACAAAACAAAAACAACAAAGCACATAAAGGGAGTACCCTGCCCACAAACACTGCCTTTCAGTTAACAACGTGTTAACCTCGGACTATACAACACTAACATGACTGGCCTGAGCTCAACCAAGGCGAACCTCTGTTCTCCCACTGGGGCATTAAGGCTTGAAAAGGGGAATAAAAGGGGGCTGTGGGTGGGCAACATAACATTAGGAGTTTAAGGACAGGGCACCTCACATTCCACCTGTTGACTACAATGCAACAGGCTAGGTAGACACCATGTGCACGTCTGAGAGAGGCACCGCACTCCCTATGAGCTGTACTTCCTCTGTTGCTGCAGTTTTCACTCTGCGGGGAGCAGGGTGCCATTTGAGAAACACAGAACCATGCTCCAGTAATGCCAATGTCACATTGACACCAACGACAGAATAATGCTAATGAACGTAACAGACGGCGTTGGCAGTAGTGTTTGGAACAGAGCGAGGGACCTTGAGCCTCCAATCGCTCATATTAACCTCATCAAGACTAATGCTCGGCATAAAAAAAGTGCTTCAACTCTGTTAGTCATAATGTATTACCATCTCATTCTATAGCTCTATAGATATATCTGTATGTCATCTCTTAGCAAAATACTGGATACAAAATACTCACTACTGCTATACCAGCACTAGCCTGAACAAGGAATCGTCAATATTATTATTGTCGTCATCTGCCTGAAATCATCGTATGATTGTTTTTGCCTTCTTTTTTTTAACCTTACTATGTGAAATAAGGTTGTGTTACTCTCCACCAAAGGGGGCTACACATTTCAAAATGGCACATTTTGCTTTACAAAACAAAATAATAAAAGATAATATGAAAACAAGCATAATCACAGATCAAGTTAATGTTTTTTTTTCCTTTTGAGAGAATAATAACAATAATTATAATTGCAATGCTGCGTCGTTACAGAAGAACATCACAGAACCCTCTAGTCGACTGCAAACGCAACATCTAGTGGACACGAGAAGCCTGCACTTTGGCAATAAAACAGTAAAAAGATATCAGAAGCTTCATTATAACACTATTTAGAAAAAAAGCCAAAGGCAGCTACGTTTATCCCAATACAGATGACTCTGAAGTGGCCCTAAAGGCCTGGCTTTGCTACATGTCTCTCTAAGCATTAAAAGAACTGCTTGACTGTGCACAGCCGAAGCAGGAAATGGAAAAAAAAAAAACACGACACATAGGCATTTGGCTACATGTTTGAAACGCCATTGATAACTGCAATGCATGGACTGATGAGCTACAGGTTCCCAACAGCTGTAAGAGAAATACTTAAAGGGTTACTGAGATAAGGAATGCTGGCCTTAATCATACAATCTAACATACATCCTTTAAAAAAAATTAAAAAGAAAAAAAACATGCTACAAGGAAAAAATTAGTATATAACTACACTTGTCTCTTAATTTTTAAACAATAAATAAATGAAGATTGCACTGTAATTGGCATGTAAAGTACTGTATGCAAATATATAGTATAAATAAAAAAGAACTAGAAAAGAACTCTACCTTACATTTCCCATCAACTTTGGCAATGGTATTTTGAGCTAGTAAACCACTTTGCTTACACATACAGGAGCAAGGCACAGCAGAGACAGAAGACAAGATACAGCATCAACAAACTGAAAGAAAAAGATAAAAGAGAGAAAAGCAGAGAAACAGAGAAAGAGAGGCTATTATGATGATGACAGCAATGGGGATGACAAGATTAGATCTCCCCTTTGTAAGGCCTTTTCCCTGAGGTACGTTACAGGTTGCCAATCAGAGCAGAGCGACAGGGTTAATCTACTGCCCCCCCCCCTTCCCACCCAATCCTTCTTCCCCCACACCCTGACTAAAGTAGTGATGTCACACATAAATCTTGCAGGTCAGGGTGACTTCTTTGGATCATAAGGGTATGTATTGGGCTGTACCTTGGCTTTGAGTTGGGGTTCAGGAGTCAGGCGGGAGGTCACGGGGTGTTACATGTGTCAGAATGCCCTGTTCTGCTGAACTGTGTTCTGTCAAAGGCTTGTTTGGTTAGTGAACATTAGTTCAAGTCCCCAGAGAACATGTCCGTCTGAGTGAGACCACAGACTTGCTACTGCTCCGATTACATGTCAATAAAGCACCTTTTAAAAGAGAGAGTGAGAAAAGAAGGAGGGAGAGAGAGCATTGCAGAAAGGCGGGCTGGATCGAAAACAAGAGAGGAGCAGCCAGAGCAAAAGGTAATTTAAGATAATTATGTGCAGAAGCGGAGAGAAAGAGAAGAGTCTTCAAATGTATCAATTCACAGACTAGGTGAAGCTTTAGCATTACAGCTTCAGCATTGCTCTGGCCTTCCGGGGGGAGTGGGTTAAAGTTCAAGCTAACTCCTAATAGCTTTCCTGGTTAACACACACAGCTCTGAGAAGGGCAGCTAGCTGGCAGGCTGTTAGCACCTCTGGGTCTGTGAGGCTAGGGGCATACCACCACTAAAGCTACAGATAAATAGTATGGAGCAATGGTACTTGAGATGGTGGAAATGGAAGGACAGGGACAAATACTTTGTCCAGCCATTTCCTGGTATGTTTCAGCCAATCACGATCACAGCCTGGCTTCCTAAATGCTAAAGCCAGTTAATGCCCAACACTTGAATACCTACAAGGGTTAATATTCTGATCCAAGACCAGTGTTAAAGGGCTCCTTCAACCATATGCACAAGCTGCTGAACTAACCTCAGAGCTGCTGTTTGTGAGCACCTAGAGTCAACTCCTCCCCTTTCACACTGTAGTTTAGACTTTACATTGCCATCACTTATTACATCACTTCTATAGTATCATAGATATTATAACAAATATCTATCTATCTGTCTCTATATATATTTATATATATTGTGTGTGTATATATATAGATTACTGTTTTTTCATTCTTTCTTAGATATAATAAAATCACAGGATAGCAGCATCTTACACCACACATGAATTGCATCACTTTGGTAGTTGAATGAGCGAGTGACTGAATGTTAAAAGCAGAGCAGATATGTGATTGGAGGATATGTGTGTTTCTCACTGTCATTGCATGAATGTGTAAATAAATTTGCACGTGTGTGTGCGTTGTGTCTTTGTCTGTGTGTGAGAGCAGGTGCAGATTGCATGAATTGACCAACAGTCTGTAGAGTAGTAACAAAATGAATAAAATGATATTAACGGCTAAAGCTTTGAAGCCCTACATTGGAATATGGCTGAAATGGATAAAGACTGCAGCAAAAAAAAAATAATTAAGGCAATGACCGTCAAGAAATATACACGTTCTCTACTCGAATATGTTTTAAAAAGATACAAAATAAAAAACATGCAGGTCAGTTTGAGGAGCAACTGCTTTGCTCACAGATATTTTAAGGCTTGATTATCACTTTTCTTTCCCAACCGAGGTACAGCTAAGACAAGGCTTCCCTTGACAGAAACTCTTAACAAATGAGTCAGATAATGATACAAAGACAGCCGAGACATAGAGAGACTGAGTGAAGGCAGAAGACAACAGGAACAAGGTGAGGAAAGCCAGAATCGATACTTTGACAAAAAAAAAACATACATAGCCTTAGAAGATCTCAAGTGTTTGATTTGATTTCATTCGGTTCTTTCATAGACTCTGATTTTGCTTTCTCTTTCTATCCTATAGTTAAAAATTCCCTCACTTCATGAAGAAGTACTGTAGCAAGCAGGCAATGAGGATGGAGAAGCCTGCAAACACGCACACGATAAGTGCAGCAAAGCGCTCGTCGCTCGAGATCAGGCCCGCCCCTTTGCCCGTTTCCACGGCGCACAGCTCCCCTGATGATGCCGTCTCCTGGCGACGCAGCGTGAACAAGGAGGAGGGGCTCAGTGGTCCGCACAGTTCCTGGCATGTGTCCTGGCAACGGCGGCAGGCGCCCACACGGAAACGATAGTCTGTGTTGCCCTGGAGACCAGATATTTGGAAAACGCCCTCCTCTCCCTTAAAAACCTGTGAAGGGAGACAGATGGAAAGAACACAGTTTAACGTTAACAATAACGAGCACGCAATAACATTAATGAGCAGTCTTAAAAGTAAGAGATTTATTCAACAAAACACAATCCCAGTTGATTTTTTTGAAGGTGTGCTCATGAGTGAAATTAGTAAGCCGGTGTTCTTTTGCATGCCTCCTTAGGTGGCATATGATTGCTTGTTTTCATAGTGTGGGCAGGTGTGACTCTCAGAAAATGTCTGTTCAGGTCATATTATGACAACACTTCTGGCAGGGCATCATGGCTATTCCACAGTGAGAAGATCAGTACCCCTCCAGAGCGTCTTAAGTGAATCCTGCCTTATTACTGAACCAAAACATATATATTTGTTTAAGCATGTGTACCTGAAAAGAAACGTTATCTTACAATGTGCGACCCCCTGACTTTAACTCACCTTCCACTGAATCCCACTTTCTCATAATCAAGGTGTAAATTCTGTTTGGGAACTTGAAAACCACTTCACCATAAATATAAAATAAAAGGCAACTGGACTTGGTTAAAGATACTAAATGATGTTTCATCTCTCATTCTAGAGACTTATTTAATTCTGACTGCTATTGTTGTTCTAACCAAATTTAGAAAAGCTGATTGGTAGAAACATATATCCCTGTTTTCATGTTATTTTGAAAGGACATTGGAATAGGCTTATAGCAGATTATTCCCAGCTGTAGCTGTTAAGAGAGATGATTGTTCCCAAATTATGAAATTAGAGGCCTACTTGTCTGCTGTGACAAACTGAATGTTAAGTAATTTCCTGCCTCTAAATTCTGAGGAAACTGAGATTCCTGTCATTGGCACTGCTCCACACAGACATCAGCTTGATTAAGTAACAGTTACTCACGATAACTGTGTGATTTCTCAAAGTTTGACAGCTGAGAACCTTGGCGTTACGTTTGATCCTACCCTCTCTTTTGATCAGCACATTAAAAAGGCACAGGTACTATCTGTTTGGCGGTACCTGGAAGTAGCTTGACGTCCTACCAGATCTATCTATTTATAATTCTGGTCCATCCTGTAATTTTACAATTACTAAAATTGTACAAACGACATCTATTGTAAGTATCTATTGTAAGTGTCATCCCTATTCTGTTCCTGAGGTTTCTCCCTTTTTTAGTGGTGATTTTTTCTTTATTCTGAAGAGAGTGTAGGATAGAGGGTTTCATAAGCTCTAAAGATTGTAAAACCCCTTGAGCTGACTTGAGATTTAGCCAATCACAAACAGCAAAATGTTTTTTTCAGTATCAGAGAGCTAAGACATCATCAGTGTGTTATACACCGAGGAGCACTGGTTTTTAGTTTTAGCCGTCAGAATTTCCTGCGTCTCTTGTTTATGAATGAAGTTGGTAAAATAAACAGTAGTGCATGGATTCCCTCACACATACAACAAAAGGACAAACACACAGAGAGGAAAGTCTACAAACATCTGAAAAGCCACATCACAGATTTGTATTGACAGCTGATGTGTGTACACAATGAAATGAGCAAATATACTTCCCACATCCCCACATGCACACATATACACGCAACAGCGGTTTTGTCGGCTTATGAGAATCTGCAGTTCTTCCCTCCAACCATTCAGAAATTCAATAACAGAACAAACCAGCCCTGAAGACAAATGTCTTTTTGTCTGCAGTCTACTAGCCTGCTCATCTGTCCTACTGCCAGCTAGCCGATGCTGTACTTCCAAGTGCAGCCAAAATCATTTTTTTCACTTGTTCCTCGTGTTTTGTGATTCTCATTAAAATCCTCCAATACCATTCAATAAATACTGCTGGCACTGCAGACTACCTTCAATTTCAGAATGCTGTATCTCTCAGTGCGGAGAAGATGTAGTGTGTATGTGTGTGCGGAGAAGAGTGTCTGTGTGTATGTTTCACTCTTCTATGTGCAAGTTTGTGACTGGTTGTAATATATCCTCCCAGTAGTTGTACACACAAAAATAAGAATGAATCAAATAACTGAAGTGAGGCTCTGAAGTACAGAGACACCGGAGCTCTCAACACTGTCCTTACGTGACCTGTGTGTGTGTGTGTGTGTGTGTGAATCGAACCTGTTTGTATTCTGACTCGCGTCCCACTAGAACCTGTAGCACGTAGCTCACAGGATCTCCTCTCATTGGTGGGATAGTCTCCCATGTGATCTCACAAATGTTCCCCTCCAGCTGGTGCACTCTGGGAGCTGTCGGAATAAATGTCATCAAAACATGATTTCAATCACATGGCAGGATTTCAAACTTAAAATATTTGTTTTATATTGTATTACTTTTTGAAATGACTTTCTACATTTGGGCCCACTAAAAATAAAAGCAACCTCTGCGTACGTAATAAATACACCCTTTACTATTTCAAGAATGCATCTGGAAGGCCAAGTAAGTTCTTTCTACCACCTAAAATGTAAATACTAACATCTGTGATGAAAATTTAATATTTCCCTGTGCAGAAATGAACAAGTAAATGGATTACAACAAACTGTTTACTTTTGGTTGATAGTAAAGGAGAAAAATAAAGAAGAACATAAAACAAAGCAGCTGGGTCAGACATCTACCACCTAGGGCAGTATCAGATATCTGGCCCCGAGCAGAGGACAACGTTAACAATTGTAGCAGGGGAGACTGCTCCCACACACATAGGCCTGGAAAACTCCTCTTCCCATGGTAACAGAGAGGCATAAGACATACCAATTTCCCAGATGTTCAAACACACACACCAAACCCTGGCATGTCCTAGTGGACAGTAACATGCCGGATAAGGTGCCTATAAGTAAACAATGGTAGATATATAATTATCAGCATGAATATAAGACAGATCAATTTTCTGCCATCACAAATATCCCCCTTCTAGAAACTAATGCATTCTATCAGCAGTAATGGTTTCAGTCATGTTAATGGCTGTTAACTGTGTAGGTACTGCACATCATACTGGATTTAAGCCACAACAAAGAGTAGTGGCTAATTTTGTTTTTCAGCGTTGATAATTGTTTTGCAAGGCAATAATATCCTTGGGGAATATTGTGATTTCACACCGGAAATAACAACCTAACAACAATGATCCAATTCTGACTACATTAATTCCTGTGCTAAATATAACATACATTTTACTAAACTCTAACCAGGGACATATTGAACAGTTTGTCTCAACTCTCAACTTTATTGTCCTCAATGAAAGCTGATTAGCAGAGAACCTTTCAGACAGTGCACATGGACTGTTAACAGTTTTACAGAAGCTGTTTGGACCCTTGCGGCTGTTATTTCCCTGTTTATGGATATGTCAGTGCTGTGATGTGTTATATTACCAGAGAGGGTATTCTTTACTGTGATTACTGTAGCCACTGTCTCTCAGTTTACAGCATTGACCACATACTGGAGGCAATAATCAAGCAAGGATACAGTAAATGTGTCATCTGTAGCAGCCAAACAGAAACAAATGTATTGCTGCACTTTGGCCTCTGGGTGTATCAGCTCTTTTGGGCCATTCACTGTAACCTCTAAAGTGCTAGAGCCAGTTGCATTAACTTCTAAAGTTCAAAATTGATGGACTAATGAATAAATAAAATGGGTTGCCTGGGTCAGCTTACCTTTGAGGGCAGGGGGTACAGACTTGGTGGTGCAGAACCTGTGTGTGTCAGAGAAAGGACCCTCCCCAGCATCACTGATCGCCTGTATTCTGAAGCTGTAGCTGCTGGATTCAGTCAGTCGCTGGACCTTGTAGGTGTGGCTTGGGCCACGGTAGATTGTCACAAACCTGGACAGAGAACGTAATGAAGAATACGGGAGAGAGAATGAATCACAAATCGCGAAATCTGTAAATGCTAACGAGCGGTGAAGGAGAGGGCATGAAAACAAAGTGAGTCAAAGATAAAGGAGACAGTGAAGAATGAGGAGAAGGTGAGAGAAGGGAGGGATGGTGCTATGAATAGATAGATTAGAGGAGAGGAGAGATATGATGCTCATATGATATGAAACTCAGATAAAAAACACAGAACTGATTTACGATACATAAACTGATTCAGACCATGTTCAGGACTGGAATGATGCATTTGCACAGGACTTTCATTGACTCATCATAGCAGGCATTACAAGTTAACTGTGCTTAATAACATTGGTGGCGTAACTATTTTAAAATAAATCTAGCTCTATCCAAACAAACTCTTGATACGTCAAATATAAGTTTGTGTTTATGGTTGATATTCACCTCTTACTAGTGAGTAACTCAAAAAGAGTCTTCAAATGCATCAACATAAGTTAAGGTGGGATTGTCAGAAGTAAGTGGTTGAGACCTTGAAAAGAAACAGGGATGCTGGCGGGAAGACAGGGGAGTGCATCTTAACAAAGATAGTGATGATTTATAAACACACAGGACAAATACTGACAGGCCATAGTCACAAATCTGATGAAAACGAGCACCAAAAGGGTTTCTGGCTGGCTAGATGGACAGATTGATGGACTGAAGGCAAGATGATAAATGAGCGAATGAGTAAATCAGGGAGAAATGGGGATTTTAGCTGAAGAAAGGGGTTATTTATCTCCACTATCAGCTTTTCAGCACTATAGGGTAAAACTCTGAGTGAGGAAGGAAGTTACGGGAGAGAGGGAAGACAAAGGTGGCGGGGCAAAGTAGAAGATAGGAGGCAGTGATGGAGGAAGAAAGTCTGAGGAGGATATGAAGGATAGGAGAAATAAAGGAGTTGGAAAAGAGAGGTGACTGGTAATTATAAGAGTGGAGACAATGATGGAGGATCTACTGTAGGAATAAAGGGAAGAGAGGGTGAGATAGAAAGAAGAGATGAGAGAGGTCATGGTTTAGTAGAAGGCTATAACTCCAGATGAGCTCTTTATGTAGCTGCACTACAGAGAAGTGATGTGTTTCTCCAGCTGATATATGATGTTGTTAATCCTTTGCCTCACTGCCAGGCCTTACAGTTAACACACACACAGACACCCACACACACACAGACACCTAGCGCTGGTAGAGTTAGCTCAGTGGTTGCAAAGTAAATGCTACGTGCAACCGTGTCTCACCTTGTTTACTCTCTGCTGACTCTCAGCTAACAACCACATGGCCCAAAAAACAGCAATTTTCATATAAAAGTAAATCCGTCAACATTTCCATTATCATAACATTCCATCATCAGAGTAACTAATACTCATCAGAGCACACACACAAAATCACCAGGCTGCATTTAATGAGATGAAGGGCAACCTTGATCGTGAGCCAAACAGCCAACCAATTAACCACAACAAGGAGCAGAGGAGGACAGAGAGCGAGAGTTAAGCTGGCAGAGGAGGTAGTAACATACCTGAATCGACATCTGTGTAGCATGGGGTAGCAAGCAGGACGGGACGCCTGTGCTGTTGTGTTACATGTCACGCCTCTTTTGCTTCCGAAGACAAAGATGCATTATTTTTCTGATTGTTGCTGTACTCATGAAATAGAACTGTATTTATTTAATGTGCCTATTGTGCTGTAACTATGATGTTTGATTTATGTTGCAGTGATTAAGATGCAGACATCTTAAAACACTACTTTGACTGCACCGGTCCTTCATTTAAACACTGTTTCCAAGAGCCAGCAATCATTCATCCCACACAGAAAAACATTTATTCTGGCATAACTTTATCAAACAGCTTCCCGGTAAAATTGTAACTGTAATTGTAATTGTCAGACTGTTGACTCAATATAACTTTTTTTACTCAATATTAAAGGGAGAAATCTGTTTTCAATCAAAAGTTTATAGCAATGCACATAGCAGAGGCTATAAACGATAAGCATGTGTCCACAGTGGTGTGTAATCGCTGTCCGAAGGGCGAGACAAAAGTCCGCACTGGAGGTTTAAAGAATAACCTTTTCCATTGTACACACAGAAATAGCATATGATGACCGAAATAAATGTGTGCAGTTGTCATTAATGATGAAATCATCATTACATTTGCACAACACAGTTTATGCATTTGTTATCCATTCCAATATAATAAACATGTTTTTAAGCCATTATTGCCTTATATGGATGTATCATGCATGGATACTAATTGATAATGTAGAGACGGGGAAGGAGAAACAGCTTGTTTTCAAAGTGGCTGAATTGCTTGCTGGCTGGCTGCTTGAAAAAAATGGGTATGCATAAAGAAATGGCTGAATATAAGAATGAAGGATAGAGAAATGAGCAACATGGACGAATGAATAAACAGATGGTGGGGCTGGGAGACTGATGGCTAGATATGGATGGAGAGATAAATAAGCAAAGCTGATCAGATGAAAAGATGGAAGAATTGAATTTAAGAAAGGCTGAGGAACAGGACAGGGGATGGAAAATGTGCCTGTTCTTCCACTTGCATACATTTAAAATATCCATTCTGTCAGAAAGTTGAAGCCTTCTTTGCACTGCACTGCCCATGTTGCCATGGTGCCCTTACACTCCCAGTACCCCTGCCAGAAGGTATTTTGAGTAATATGGATGAGGAGAAAATGAAATGAGAAAATTCAAACAAACTCATCCAGCTTGTAAAACAACGAAGTGAAAAAAGTAAAAATGAAAAAGCCATAAGCGAAGAGGACAAAGTGTGAGCAACAAGTGTGCATACAGTGAGATAAGAATGGAAAAAATAAGCTGTCATAGAAAGAGAGACAAATAGGGAAAAGAGGGGAAAGTAAAGAAAGGAAATTAAATATTGTGAACCTGAGAAAATGGTTTTATTTATCATTTTACACACCCACAAAGACGTGGCAGGGTGGATGGGAGAGAAACAAAGAGGATGAAAGATGAGATGGGAGGGAGAAAATGTATGAAGGGGAGTGCATTTCTCCAGAGGTCCTTCAGAGGTGAAGTCGCCTTTCTAACAATAAAATGAGAATAAATACAAATTAAATCGGCCAGAGACAAAGACAGCGTGAGACAAGGTTGGGGACAACTAAAGTCAAAGACATGAATACACAGTAAAGCGATTTGGTTACAAAATGACACTGATGGAATTTATTGCCAAAATCAGAAATTATATTTGCAGAAATTATAGCTAGCTATTCAATATGTTTGTTTACAAAGCAAAATATATTCAAGATTCAATAGGTTCTCCATTTTCAAAATGCCCTTGCAATCTCCCTCAATACTTTCTGATTAGCAGTGAAGCATCTGGTTGGCATGGCAATTTCATCAATAATAACAAATTCCTGCTAATTCATTCTAATGGAGTGTGATGAGAGTGAACAAGGGAAGAGCACTGTAGGAGGAGGGGGAGACCTGTAAACCAGCTCAATCCATTCATTTCTAGATAACCCTCTGCACACACACACACACACATACACACAGTCCAATAAACCTCTAATGCAGTTGCTAATACACCTAAACGTCCTGTCACAACTACCACTAGCTGCAATTAATGAATCCTTAGCAAAGGCAATTAGGTTGAATCAGTCAGGAATCACACATTGTCATGACATTAGCGATTCCGTCAATTATAGACTTAATGGTCATTTTCCATATTGAGAAAGTGATGGAGATGAAGAGTAAAGAGTGAAATAATGGTGCGTGTGGAATAGTATTTAGGCTGTGTGGAGAGATGCTGCTATTTTTTTATCTGAACGTCTGTCTGAATAAATGTCATTCCACTTCATTGCTATACTTTTTACTAATGTATAAATGCTTTTACAATGACAAATGATAATCAATATAACATTCTGCTTTTTAAAGCTGTGTTAAAAAAAACAACAAATATGTTATGTAAACATAACATATTCATGGATGCTTCTACAAAACCTTCACCCTGATTTTGTCACACTGTGTGCCTGCCTTGTTTAGTTCTCAGTTTTGTTATTTTAGTCTTTTCTGTATCAGTTATGAAGTCTATGTTATTCTATGTTTGTGTGTTTTAGTTATTATTATTATAATTAGTTGTGTGCCGTGGCGGCTTAAATTCCCGTGAGCTGGAATGAGCTAGAACCATTAAACTTGGGGGAATAGTACTTCCATAGAAATATGAACCCAATCGGCCACATGGTGGCGCTGTAATTAAGGCTTCAAAATCCAAACTTTGAAAGGCCACCCCCCCTCATGGCGTACATCCGACAGCTCCAGCTCAATGTCCTCTACAAAAAAGCCTCTAGGACCATTAAGGTCCGCCTAGAAAATTTTTCCGCCATTTTGAATTTTTTGAAAAACACATTTTTGACATCTAGCTCCGATTGCCACCAAATTATCAGTGAGTCTTCTTTGGATCAAGATTATTAAAAGTTGTATAAAGCATGTCAATATCTCAATTGCCTTTCAAGATATGGACCAATAAACTTCAAAGGGGTGTGGCTCTGGACATAAATGAACACAAATCAGCAACCATAGGGCCAATCTCACAAAACTCACAGGATATGTTCAGATAGGTGCCCCAGATATACCTGAACAGTTTGATGTACATACATCACTAGGGGGCGCTACAAGCACAAGAAAGGTGCTTAGCATTACACAAATTACACTATAAATCCCATATTCATTCTCAAATCATCACAAATCTCTCAGGATATGTCCACATAAGTAAATGAAACATGCCCTGAAAGTTTCATTCATATCAAACACCCGGGGGCGCTATAAATGCAAACAAATTGCAGGGGATAAAAGGCAAATCAGGCTACAAAATACAAATTGTTTGTCCAATTAACACAAAACTTGCAGGATATGTCTACATAAGCACCTCACACATACACTTTAAGTCTCATTCAAATTGACCACTAGGAGGCGCTATAAATGCATAATAATTGGATGTGGAATGAAACAAATCAAGCTATAGATCAGAAAATGCTTGTCCAATCGTTACAAAACTTGCAGAATGTGTTTCGTAACAATATTCAACCATATGTGTGTAAAATTTTTGATGGCAATATTGCGAAAAAAAGGTATGAACCTGCAAATCGCCACTTGTGGCTATATTTGTTTATCTGTTTGCTAGGTGTCAATTTATGTTCTCTGCTAGTTTCATTAATCTGGTTTTAGTTCATTCTGCTTTAGCCTCTGTGTAGCCTCGTTTATTATTTCATTCATCCGCATCTTTTAGTTTACTTAGTATCCGTTTTGTCTCTTATCTTAGTACCTTGTTCTGTGTCTTAGTTCCCATTCCTGTGCCTTAGTTCATGCCTTAGTGTTTATTTCTGGTCTGTAAACATCTGTGTGGTTTTGCCCCTGTCTGCTCTGAGTTCTGTTTTATCTTAGCTTCAGTCTGTGTTCCTTGTTGGTGTTAGTTGTGATCTGTCTGCTTGTGTCTGCGTTAGTTTATTTTTATCATTCTGATCTGTTACATCTTATTTTGATATGGCCCGTGTTCAGTAACCTGTGTTATGTCTGTTACCCCAGTAATTCCTCTGCCTGCTTGTCCGCTAAGTACCTTGAGTTCCAGTTAGTGTATGGTCTTGTGTTTTGCATCTGTTAGTATCTGTCTATTTTCCCCTGCTGTCACTCTACCTGTCTGTGTGCTTGATTAGTCCCTCATGTCTTTCACCTGTGGATCCCTCTCCCAGCTCGTTAACCCATGTGTGTATAGATACTTGCTTATTTCCTCAGTCTATGTCCGGTCTCGTGTTGTAGTGGTTTTTCCTGCCTTGCCCGTCATGTTACTCTGTTTCCCTATTTCTGTGGCTTTTGGATTTCTGTTGGATTACCTTGTTTTATTTTGGACTCTGTTTATCAGCCACTCTACCAGTGTGTGTGGTAGCCTTTTTGAACTGCACCTGCTTTGCTCCAGGTTCCTGCACTTGGGTCCACCACCCTTCCACACCACAAAAGTGACAGATTTTAGTATCTTATTATAAAAACAGGGAATTTTTATTATGAACTGAAAAAATGCCAGTTGCAATCCAATATTTCCTTACTATAAATCCTGAATTATTCCCAACCCCATTGAACTTCTGGTACAGATAAGATGGAGGGGAAAAAACACCTCCTTGATATGAAAAAATATGGCTACCCAAAATTTTTTAAGTTTTATTTTGGTGACATCGGAAATCAAAAAAGCTTAGAGCAAGAAGGGACACATGTGGACTCAAAAGAAATAAAGTAAGACTGGCCTGACGAATGATAAATTTGAGACCAATTTCAGGCTACTTTTGAACCAAACAAAAGGCTGTCTTGGAACACAAACAAACCCCCTCTTCTCTGAATTGAGTGACAAAAACCACTCAAACAGTTTTCATTTCATTTTATCCAGAAAACACTTTAAAGTACATAAAATGTATTATATGTTTTGCTAAATGCAAAAGGGATGGACTACATGCTGTTGTTTCCACAAGATTAAAGAAAACAAGTGGTACTGAAACCTGGAATGATTGTCATTAACTCCAGATTATGATCGTCAGTTATAACCTGTGTATAGGATTGGGCTCATCAAATACTATAACGTGCTATAATCAAATTAAGCAAATGTTTTCAATTTACAGCAAAGTAAGTGCTTACATGCACTTTCTCACATACAGGTTTGAAAAAATGCTGGGATGATTCTCAAAATACCATCTGATGCAAATATGGTGCATGTAGACATACGCATATACACATAATTGCATCCAAGCATGGTCAGAGAAACACAAACACACACAGACTAGCTTACTGCTATACTAATCACTGAGCCCATTAAATAGGACACTAAACTGTGAAAGCTGTTTTAATTTGGCTTGCAGGGAGTGTGTCTGTGCCTACGTGCATGCCTCTGTTTGTGTGTGTGTGTCGGAGAGGTTAACAGGTCACACCCTTCCGGATAGGGCCCCATCTGTTGCCTGCTGCACTCTGGACCATCAGTACCTGTGTGCCAACTTGATGCCAGCCAAGCCTTAATTCAAACACTTATAGCCAGCCAACCAGAATGGTAGAGGGCTGGATTGAGGGAGACAATCTGACAGGTGGGAAGACAGACAGGCAGGCAGATAAAAGTGGCTCCTCGCTGCATTTCAGTTTAGTATATATATTATATATATAGTTTCCTACTTCTTTATTCACCCTTCCCCTACTCCCACTCACTATTTCTGCTTGGATGTATTAAAGATTCACTTAGAGCTCCCATTAACAATAATGCCCTCCTTACAATTGTGTGTTCCACTCAGCGGTCACGTTATGCCCCTTCTCCTCCTCCTCAGTCTTCTAATTCTCTGTCTCCCCGTTTCTCTCTTTGTCACTCCTGTCTGACTAGTCACTTAAATGGAAGGTTGATTTTTGGAGGCTTCATCCAGGCTGGCTCCAGACGCCCTCAACGTGACTACTCACTGGTACATCTGGTTACTGCATACACAGAAAAAACCCAGTGTGTGAGTGTTTAAGGATTTGTGTGTATTATTGACCTTCTGGGTCCTGATTTGCTGTATTGACTAGCAGTGGGTTGTGGAGTCTGTGAACTGTGGTGCACAGGATGGCCGAGAGGTTTAGAGAGCACATCTTCTGGGGAACATCACAGTTTCAATCCCTGTTCATATATATATATATATAACCAGTAATCTTGTCTTGTCTCTACAGATGTGTGTATACTGTTGATGAGTACCTCTTTTGACCAAAAATCTCTACAAACCCAAGAAAAACACATTTAGAATAATTAATATTCATGTGTTGTTTTTTCCCAGGGCAGCTACTGACTCTTTCACTTAAATGCAAAGCTCATTAAAATAGATCAAGGTTGACTGTTGCTACTTCTGTTAAGAGTAAACAATGTTAGTTGGGGATGGACATTAATTAAAAAAGGAATTAAGCAAAATTGCCATGAAAGTCTTTTGCCAAATCCTGCTGTCCAAATAAATGTAACTAATTTGAGTTTTAACTCATGTAATGAATTGCAGTGGAACACAGTTTGCTGCATTAGTTTAATTATTTTGAGATTAATTTGATTGTTTTATATGAGATTGTGCATGCATTTGTTATATTTTGATTTAGATTAAAAAATAATATAATAATGTTATGATTTTGAGTTCATTCAGTTCAGTGTTTTTAAGTAATGCAGAGGGTGTGCGGTATAAAGGAGGTGTACAGTGTGAACAAAACTTAAGGTTTGTATTGTCTTGCCTAAATGTAAGTTTTATGAGCTGTTCATGTGTAATTACATATGTTTTGGAATTACCGTGTATATGTAGTCTCGAATATAGTAAGCTGGACTCCTTCTCAGTCTATACCATGAGGTGAACAATGATGTAAGAGCAGTGTAGATGGGGGTGTGTGTGTGTGTGTGCGCGTGCTCCACCTGTGGTTCTTGTCCTCCATCTGTAGTGTGTAGACCATGTCATCTGCAAGCAGGGCGCGAGTGTGTGTGTTGTTGGCATTTTCGCCCCATTTCAGCTTCAGGCTCTGAGGGCCAGCCGCCGAGCATTCAAGAGGGGGTGGGGCTGGGGGGAGGGGGCGTGTCCTCGCCAGCAGGGGTGGACTCAAGGGACTGGAGCCGATAGCATTCACAGCCTGAATCTGTACACTGCGTGCCACAGAGGGGGAGAAAGAGAGAAAGATTACGATTTGTGATGAAGAGGCTGAGCCGGTGCATTAGCTTTGACCTTGGCTGCTTATGTGATCCCTTTGTCCATTACCATTCTTCAATCAATGTACTCTCCAGGATGAAACTTAAATATGTCCGCCTTGTTGGCCCACTGTTTTTCCTCTATCTACACAACAGTAGATACAGAAATTGAATCACTGTTTTATAAGACTTGCTATTTGAAAATAACTTTATTTTCCAAGCAACAGAAAGCAGTTTTTTTTGTCTTTGCCCAACTTGATAAAGGTTTATGTTCCTCAAAAAGCCTATTTAGAAATAGTTAACAACAGACAGGCTACAGTGGGGTCTGTGCAATGTACAATGGAGAGAAAGAAAATTAGGAGAAATGTATTTTGTACTGTTTACTCACATCATAAAACATACTAACATGCACCCAAACACACAAGAGGGCACACAGATCTACTGCTAATTAAAAAGAACTTGCAGAAATGGATTTTTGCTTTTCAAACTCCCTTGCTGTCTTCTTTCTAAGAAGCCCTTCCACACCCTTTTTCTGTCAATGTCTGATTAGCATCCACATCAGAGGCCCTAGGCTAGAGAGCATCTATCCTCTGACATTTAATTGCTGATTCTCTGTAACTGTAACCTTTCATTATAATTCATGCAGCTGAGTGGAGACTAAGGCGAAAGGGCAACGTTCATCCATCCACTGGGTGATTAAACATATAGATGACAGAGAAGGAGAAGAAGGAGCAGAAGAGCTTAGCTTTGATGATGAGGGATTACATATAGGGATATAGGGAAGTTCAGAATAGGTGTGGTTTTTGTTTCACAGTATTTGTTTCATCATGAAGTGAAGAAAATTAAGGTAAAAGACAATTTGTGAATAAAAGATGATGCATCAGTGCTCACTGCACAACTGTAAGGCTTGACGTAACCATGTCTCCTGCTGAGCAAAACACTGAACCTAGTCACTCATTGCATGCTCAGTTTAAAGGCAGTTTAAAGGCAGCTAGCCAAATCACTAAAATGTAAATACAATGGTTATTTTTCAGTTGGGAAACAAAATTGTACCTACCATGCAGCGACTCTTATAATTACTTGTTAGTAATTGAGATTTTCTTGTCTGAGAGTGCAATTTCTTAACAGTGCGGGTTTAATGAATCTGTATTCTGTCATGTGTGACAGTGTGGCAATTATCCTTTTGACGTGTCTCTATAGACTTAAATACCATTTAACATCATTAATAAACTGTAACGGTATTGAGTGAAGACGAAGTATGCCTGTGAAACCTAATTGAACAATCTCTGCTGCTACTTCTTTTTAAACTAAAGATGTTCTGCACAATCTTTGGAGACCTAAATGTTATGAAGCTTTCAATGAAAACATGAAATGTAATTAGAAAATACATTGAAAGGTCAAAATCATTATTTAGGTGGTATAGGTGAATTATTGGAAAAAGAAAAACTAAATTACTTTCTTTCTCTTGAACATACAACTACTACCAAGGTCAGTTCTCTCCAGCGTGGACAGAAAGAGAGAGGAAAACACCTGAAGCCTAAACACTGTTTATTGACAATAACCTCAGAATGAGACATTTTGTAAACGTGCACTAAAGCGCACACAGCCACACTCTAACAGAGCAAACACCATTTACAGCAGTCCTTCACAACGCCATAAACACAAATATAAGAGGAATCATATTATTTGAAGGACCTTACTGCTGTAAATAACCAAAATTATTGTCATCGGCACACACAAACTCCCACAGGCAGACTTTCACACACCGACACACACACACACCCGCATACATGTGCACAAACATACACATGCACAGTGGTCATTACATGAGAGAGCAGGGTGACATTGGGACAAAAACAACCTCACAATGAAAACAATGTGTGTTGCCTCTTCACACGTACCCCTACCTTGAACACCCTCTCCTTTTTTCACCCTCAATTCAAAGAACTCATTACACAATCACATGCATGCACACACATCCGCACACATTTGTGTGATCACAGAACTGCTTACAGAGGCATAACAACAGTAGCTGGTGATGCAGATTACTGAGTAGTTGTTTACTGCTGCCGAGTATAACAAGGTCCGATGTCACTACTGATGTCAACATCATACAGGCTATGCCTAGCTACTTTATACTACTACAACTACTACTACTACTACTACTGTACACATACCTTAAAATGCATGTGTAATTTAAATGTAAATAAAAATGATATACAAGTATATATGTAAGTAAAAATGTATTACCCATAATATCAACAGAAATACTTAAAACGAGTAGAGATAATGCACATGAATAATTCATTTTGATGTGTTTTTTTTAAAATAATTCATCATTAATTAACTTAACTAGTAACTGTAGACTGCAGTTTTGGTATTCTGTGCATTTGGACCATTTCATAATTAACTTAAGAATATTTTAAAAGCCGTTGATGCAGGCTGTCATTGATGCAGACATCAGACAACAAACTAGTGACTTTGTAAAACAAAATTTGATCTCACTAATAGCTCCTTAAACTTAATGGAAGTGCAAACACATTAGTTGGAGTAAGTATTGCTGAAATCACATTTTGCCACATGTGGTCAGTGTGTTGTTTTAAATGCATTGTAGTTTTTTATTATTGCAAGGAAGAAAAAAATATTTGGGGAAATATCAGAAATGTTTCTTTTCGTCTCAGCTTGCTGCAGTTGTGTGTCTGTATTTAACTGACAGCAATTGGCAGGCTGCCTGAGTGCTGGTGTTATACCTAGGAAGCGGACAGCAATTTGTTTTTGGTACTGAAGAGTAAGGACCACGCCAGCATCTTTAACCAGACTGAAGTGACATTTGCATGTACATTTATATGCTGTTTAATGTGCTGCAGCTTTACAGCTAATTAGCTTTCCAGCCTGGAAACTGATCTTAGCACAGCACCTTTCCTGGTTGTTTGTGGGCTCGTTCAACAAGCTAAGGTGAAGGACATGTGTTCATGTTTAAGTTAGTTAAGAAGGAGACTTTAGCTGAATAGCTAACATGGGTTGCAGATCACAGTGTAGCTGTGTGCTGTCCTGGTTCAGATGTTCAGACATCGACTCATTAGTGTCTGTGGCAGTATATTTGAGTTTTGTTTCTAGGTCATGTATAGGAAGTAAGACATTGGTATGTCAAAATTACAACCCATGATTTGGTTATCATCAACATAAAATCACACTTTGTATCCACTAATCAGTTTATATATTCCTCACATAATCCCTGATGTTATAATTAATGTCAGTACCTGTATTCACTGTCTGGCTGCAGGTCTGTGACAAGGTGACTTGTCCCTGATTCCACAGTGATGGTTTGGTTGTCCAGGGTAATGACGTAGGATGTTATCTCCGCCCCGTTGCTGTTCGGTTCGTCCCACTTCAGGAGGAGGCAGGTAGATGGGGAGTGACCTGACTCCGAGGAAGTCGGGAGGTCCAGAAAGGTGAGGGAGGAGACCAGGTCGGGATTTGTCGCAGGGGTCCGGAAACTCACTAGCTCACTGTAAGGACCAGCACCTGCCTGATTCACCGCCTGAGTTGGACACAAAAACACAGTAAGGGTCAGAGAGGAGATGAGGGAAGGTATGGAGGAATTTGAAGACAGAAAAGAGGTGACGAAAGGAGAACAAATAAGAAGATGGGTGGAGGGAAGGGAAAAGGGAAGGAGACAAAGGCGAAATGAACTGGCAGGAGAAAGAGTAATATAGACAAAGAGCATGAGAAAGTAAAAGAAAAATGCATGAAGAATAGAAGAAGAAAAAAACACCAGAGGGAGATGAATTCAAATTAGTTGTGAAAGATCATTAGTCTATTTCTTGTGCCTGTGTAACACACATTTATTTTCACCTCAAGTATTCTTTATCTACTTCATTGCCATACACAAACTCAGCAAGGAGGAAACCAGGACAAAATATACCAGCTTTTAAAGAATGGATCTGCAAGATTTTGAAATCTTGAGCTAAAATAAATAAAGACAAATGTCTAAATTGCTACATTTCTTCTAATTTGCAAGCAAAATGTGCACTTTATGGCTGTTAAAGGTAACAAGCAAGACTAAGCGAGGAGTGAAGGATTTATTGTAATTGTCAAAAACACACAGCACTTCCAAGAACATGAGGAGTGCTTTTTTTTGCTTCAAAATGCACTGTAGCCAATTTCCAAGAACAGCCCAGCGACATTAATGGGAGTGCAGATCAAGGAGTGGATGGTATTATTTGCATTCTACAGCGTGTACTTGACATACTAATTTTTTAAACTAGTATTAGTTTATTTATGTAAACTATCTACATAGTAGAAAAAATAGAAAAATTTCATTAGTATTTCTGATTTATGTTCAGGTGTCAAATATGTTTTAGTGAGGCTTGAAAAACAAAGACATGTGAGTCTCTGGTTATTTAAAGTGTTCACACTCATAAAACAAGCGTACTTCAGCCTATACAGCTTTGAAACAATGCTACAGGACGTCAGCCTGCACTGGTTCATACAGGTACAGGACGTAAGGTGTCAAAGAGAGCTCAACCAAGTCGATGGCTCTTTTATGTTTTCTTGCAGCACACTATCGATGCACACAAACACACAAAGACAAATCACGTATACACACACACACAAAAGCATTGATTAGGACATTAGGATGACATTGTGCTATCCTCAAAAACTATAAATGAACCCATACAGAAGAGAGCCATAAAACATTTTGTTATCAGATTCATAACATCAGAGGGTACATCTGGAGACAGAGAAAGTGTGCGTGTATGTGTGTTAGACAAATATACAGAGAAAGCAATTATTTATGTATAAGATTAAGAGACAGAACACAAATAGAATCAGTAATCATCAACCTTTCACTGGTCTCTGTCTGTGTGTGTTTCTTGATTTTGAAGCTTCCCTGGCTGACATTTGAATGTATGTGTTGTGCATTATCTGTGTTGGTGTCCTGACTGACTCTGTCATGCCTGCAACTGTGTTCATGTGTATGTTTTCACACGTGTTTCTGTATTCATGTACTGTATAGTTTAGGTGCTTTCTTATTTCTTGTGAGCAAACATCTCTGTGTGCAAATGCAGTATCTGTGTGTGGGTGTGAATAAGCATATGTATATGTATTTCATGCCCATGTGTAGGTTTGAGTGTACGTTTGTGTGTGCTACCTGTAGCCGGCAGCAGTAATCTGTGGCAGGCGTCAGGTCTGACAGTTCACACTGTGTGACAGATCCACAGTAGATGAGCTCCATGGGTTCGTCTTCCCTCGCCCACTCCAAGCAGTACTCAGAGATGTCTGTACCCGAACCCTCAGGACTCTGCAACACACAGAATTACACACTCAGGTCAAGGAAACCAATGGGAATTAAACATTACTGCCAATTATTCAATTATCTGTGTATCGGTCTCACCTCCCAGTTGAGCGTTACGCAGGTGTTACTGGTGAGAACGATAAGTGGCGCCCCGCACTGGCTAGGAGGACCTGCTGCAGTCGTCACCTCAGTTGGGTCAGAGTACGTTCCAAACTAAAAGAGAGAAAGGGACACCAAACTCACGATGACATGTGTTCAAGCTAACACATCTGGGAAAGGCAGCACAAATCACACTGGGTTTCCTTTGTATGTCTGTACACGTGAGTCTTGTGTGTCGCTGTTCTTCCTATTTTTGAGTGTGTGTACTGTGTTTGTGCCTGGATTTGATCAGCCAGTTTAAGTTCTTGCTCAATCTCGAGTGTGTGGATTATCAAACCAATCAGATGTTAGCTTCAAACTGTGGAGCACTTCTTCATCCAAACTCAGCTGTTGTTAGTCTGTCTGGGACACTCTGACCTACTCGATACGAGTATCCGTACCTGTGCGTCTGTGTTGTTGGCTACAATAAAAAACATTTGAATATCGGTCATATCAAGAGGCTTCAGAGTTCATGTATCAAAATGTGCTGAGCAGATTTCACAGCCATAAGAGCCATTAAACACAGAATTTCATGCTTGTCAAGCGGAAAATAAGAATTGCTTTTATACATTTTGAACAGCTGACTTGTTGAAATGCATGGTTCTAACTTCAAAATGTATCATCAGGGACGTGATTTGTTTGTGGATTTTATGGTCTTGCCTGGCGATTTACTTGTTGATGGGTTTTCAAATGATTTATTATTATTGTGTGTGCACGTTAATTTCTCACCCCAGCCTCGTTTGCAGCCCGCAGTCGGAAGCTGTATGTGGCACCAGGTAGCAGACTACCAACAGTGCACTGCAGATCCGAGCCATGGTAGACCTCTGTTGGCTTGCTGCCCCCCTCACTCATCTCCAGACTGAACACACACTCCTCACATACTCCCTCAGACACAGGGGTATCTGCGGGGGGGGAGCCATTTTAATCAAACTATGATCAGATGACAGGTAATTAAAATCATATATGATAAAACGTCATACTTCTATGATCTTTTTACAGATCAGTTCAACAGGTGCATTTCTCCAAGGGATTCTTCCTTCCACCAGTAATAAATAATAGAGACAGTGGGGAAAACCCTCCAATACATTAAGTTTGACCTTCAACTCGAGCCAGTAATTGTAGAAGCACGGTCTGAATGTGAGCTGATTAGGGCTGCTGCCAGCTGTATTAAACTGGTTAAAACAAGAACTTCCTCAGTGTTTCAGCCTGGGAGACTTTTGCTTGCCAACAGATAACAGTACTAATCTGCAATAATGGACCGACATTAGGAGAGTCAAGTCAGATATGAGGCTAGGTTAGGCATTCAATGGGCTAAATTAGGGCTCAATTAGGCTAAAACATGGTAGACCAAGGTTACATTAGAGTTGGCCAGGGAAACATATTAAGCAGGAAAGAATTCAAATACATTCTGTTAAATAAAACTAAACACAGTGTATGTGTATGTTTCAACTCACCCCATTCTAACTGCACTTCCTTGTGTTTGGCTTTACCCACAATTCTTGGGGGCTGGCAAGGTCTTGGTGGGATGCTTAATGTACGTACCAGAGCACTAACAGTGCACTTCAGGAGCAGTGAAAAACACAGGAAATCAAAACAAAAGAGAAGAAACTACAGTTAAAGATCTGTTTGATTAATAACTGGCAGAAATGTTAAGTATACTTTGTTGATTATGTGTGTGCAGATTGTAGATTTTCCCACATTTTTCTACATGAGCAACATAGATGAATCACTGTTTCCCCACTCCTAACTCAAGACCGAAAATACAGAGTTACCACTCTGAAGTTTTTTTAGCATATGTGTGTGTTTGCGTCTTACAGGGCTGTGTCCTCCGGTGGTGATGCTACACACGCGTAGGCGGTAGGAGGTCCCAGGTGTCAGGCGCTCACACACACATTCTGTTGCTGGACCACTGTACGCTACCTCCCACTGGCTCGCTGCACACACACAAAAACATAATTATATTGGTCACATACAGTCTGCTGCAGTCGACCAAATAATTTTCCCAGAAACAGAATCCCGTTGACCTAAACAATGCCTGCACCACTTTATGTTGCTGTTTTTGTTCTGTTGGTGGATTGTGTAGGCCTGTAAAATGTATTATTCCTGTAAAGCATCACTTGTGTGTAAAATGTGACATGTGCTAGGGTTATTTACATTTTTTTTACTACAACATAAAGTGGAGTAAAAGTAAACTAAAGCACATGAAAAAGACAGTGTTCAGTGACTGGTGTATGGAACTTTTTTTCTTTTTTGCCCAAACATCTGTTTCAGAACAACAATGCAACACACACAAAACACACTTAATAGCTAACACAATGAGTCACAGCCATCCTGAGAGTTCACCGTTGGTGCAGCTTAGTGAGTGGCGAGAGGGGCACAGGAAAAAAAGAGGAGATGGAGACAAAATACAGATCAGAAAACAAGGTAATCATGGGCAAAAAAAGTTTTATTGTGCAAGTTATTTCTGATGTTTAATGGCCCTGAAAACCTTAATTTTCATGTTTATCTTCTTGCCATGAGCAATGGAATCCCACATGAACATACAATTTTCTGCCAAACAGAAAACTGTTATCTTAGAACAGTTTTGATTATTTCACATATTTCTGTATTTTGTGTTTTATGTGTGCTCTTCTTCTATTCTTTGGTATTCAACACAAGTCTCCAATAAACAACTAACTCCTCTTTCTTTGATGAGATTGAACGAACACAGATTCAAGAAATGACGCCTCTTTTCTCTCCCCTCTATCTACACTGAAAGACACAAGAGAACATTTGGTATCATGGAGTGCAAATCTGAGAATATATTTAACGATCCTGTGTGCTAAATTGATGCTAACAAAGAGTGAATTATGGCCGCTATACTGCTTAGGAGACTAAGTGAAGGAAATAGATGCATAGAGAGAACTAGCACAAGGGAGAGAGGACAGATGGTACATTTTATAAGATGATGGACTTGATGGAAGAACAAGTACTCGAATTAGCTGAATCTGTGGCATGGATGGACGGACGGAAGCAACAACACTATGTAAGTCGTACCTTCAGAGCAACCCTCTGAGATCTCCAGCAGGTACGTAAGAGCCTCTGAGCCCCCGTTGTCCTGGGGAGGATCTGTTGGAGGAATCGAGTAACTCATTTCAGTTTGGGTTGACATCATGCAACAACTTAGATGAATACATGTAAAACATGTCAAATTTCCAACATGACCTTTAAGGCCTGAGGAAAATCAGCACAGCACAAATCTATACAAAAATTACAAAACACACTTCCAAGTCATCAGTCGGGACTTTTTCATGACATATAGCACCCTCATCAATCCTGAAGACATTGTACAATAACTTATAAACTGTCAGGGGCTGTGACTGTTGGTCTTTCAGCTAAACAAAAATGAGAATTCCAAATACCAAATGTTTCAGTAGCAAGAGATCTGATTCTATTACTTCTGTATTCATTTATATATAGACTTTAAATACACTTTTCATACATTCTGATAGTAACTATAAAACAACACACTATTGGGAACAAACTAAATCACATTTAATACATAATAAAGACAACTGTTTGGCATTATAAAAATATGTAGTTTACAGCTATAAGAGAGCCAAATAAATTATTTGAATAGAGACTGAGAGACAAAGTAAAATATACGCCATGTTTATAACATTTCAGAAAAGACAGGTTGCTCTGACTACTGCAGTACTAACGCAGGACAGATGGATGATAGCAGACATGATGGCTTTTATGGCTACTAATTCAGTTTCATGATAACACCCCAGAGGCAGCAGTTTGTCAATTGTTTTTCACCTTTCATCATTGCTTTTCTTCTGCAACATGTTAGTTTTTTAAGTAAGTTGTGTTTTTTTTAAATCTATTACCATTCAAAAAAACAAAGAATTAGAAGTGTTGTCAATCTCTGCAGTGGCCAACAGCATATGTGATTGTATGTGTGGGTGTGTATCTTTACCCCATGTGACGGTAAATCCGTAGGGCGTTGCTGTGGCGACACAGGGTGCAGATGGAGGGCCTGGTTTGTCCGGATTGGTTGTGCACACCAACACTTCACTGGGACTGCTCTTTCCCTCCATGTTCGATGCGATGAGCTGCGGGGAGGGAAATGGACAGAATAGAGGGTTATAGGATGGAGAGTGTGAAAGAAAATGAAAAGAGAGAAGAGGAAAGAAAAGGAGAATAAGAGTGTGACAGAAGGAAAGGACAGGATACAGAGGAAGGGCAGTATGAAGCGTAAGAGAGAGAAATGAAAGAGATGGTGATAAAAGAACAAAATGAGTAAAGATGGAATGTTAGACAAAAATGAGCACACTGAGCGTGACTGGATGAGAGAAGGGAACGTATAGAGAAATCCATCAAGAAGTAAAGAAACTGTCCTGATTAATAGGAGCCATTACTCTCTGTTCCTTCATCTGTATTTCTCCCGGCTCCTCTGCCTTTCTGCCAGTTAAGTCCCTCCATTACCCCATCCAGTGGACAATCAATCTGTTTAGTTCCCAGATGTTCACAATGCATGAACATCACAAAGGACACAGTATGTGTGAGCATGTGTGTTTGTGTCTTAAGACATTTACCGCCTCATTGGACAGTGTGAGTGAGGACATGCCCACGTTTGCGTGTGAAAGTACATGTATGGTGTTGTTTGAGATGATTGCACCATAATACACTCTTGATAGCAAGGCACACACAGGACTAGCTGCATTAACATGCACACAAACACACAGAGATCTACTGCCGGTACATTATGTTTCACAATGTCCTCAGATTATGATCACGGCTATCACAGCTTTTAGTAGAGCCGGACAGTGTTCTGTACTTTCTAAATGGCTGGTGAATTGCCTTGTTACACTACTGGTTAATTTGTCAATTCACTGGTGCTAAAATGCTGTGTTTGTTCCTTGATTGATGGATCTTGTATTACCACTGAAAGACACCTGGATATGTTGGTATCCTTGGAAAAAATCAATTTGATTATTTTGAACAGGTAAAGGTTTGCTTTAATCTTTGGATACCATATTATTGAATTCTGTATTATTTGGGATTTATATAAATCTGCTGTTTTTATCGTACCATCCTATGTCACAAATCGTACTCATCCCATGCGCCAAAGAAGCTAATGCCAATCATGCTATTACTGTCCATTTCTATCAGCGTGACACAGACCAAAGAAACAAACATTTGCTTTCTTGAAAGTTAGATGAGAAGATGGATCCTACTCCTGGTCTGTATGTTAAATATTGAGCTACAGCCGGCTGCCGTCTGAGAGTCGATTTCGCCCCCCTATTTATTAAACTATTTCATTAGAATGGTGTTATTTTTTTTATACAACTAGGATAATTATTTTTGACATATATGAAGAGTTTTGCCTATTTATTTCTTGCAACAAATAAGAATGTAACTGTGGCAATGACCAGCAGAAATGGTATACATACACACACACACACACACACACACACACACAAACACCGCCATCCACTTACCCTGAATTTATACTGTGTACTCCTCTTCAGGCCTTGTACAGTACAGGTCAAGTTTTCTCCAGTGTACTTTGGATGAAAGTCTATTCCCTGTGGGAAATACACTGTCAGTAATCTGTATATATGTGTGAGATTTTCTTTGAGCATGTATTAACATCAGCATACATTTTTGAGCATATGGATACAATGAATGCTGACTTTTGCATTATATACAGTACATATATATGTGTGTGTGTGTGTGTGATTGAGAAGCATTATGTGGGAGCAATTCCCTTCTCATTTAAGTGCTGAATCATTTGCATATTGTGTGTATTTCTGTGTGTATGCATTTCCATTATAGGACTTACTGCTCTGTGCATTTGCCGTACATTTCCCCAAACTAAATGCATTATGCATGTAATTTCTAATACTTTCTCATAACCTGTTTTCTAAAGTACATAGTTTCCTGGTGGATATTTTTTATTCTCCTCCTTCTCTTCCTATGCGATTCAAGTGACTGATAGCACAGATCTAACAACAAAACAAAAGAAAACTAAATTAAGGTTCCATGTTTACTGTGGTGAATTATGTAGCTCCTGCCACTTTAAAATCCATGAGGGTTGTTTTTAATCTAATGGAAAAGAACCTGCGCCAGTAACATCAACTTTATATATGGTTTACTATAATATAGGTATTAAAATATGTGTGGTACTCACGCTGTTGTCCTCCTGGATCTCAAGTGTGTATTTGAGCTGCTCTTCGCTTGGACTGCCTTCGGGACGCCCCCATTCCAGGGTCACCCAGGACACCCCCGCCCTGACCAGCCGCGGTGCCAGAGGCAGAGCAGGCAGGGTGCCCATAGTGTAAAACACCACCTCTGTGCTGAAGCCACTGCACAAAACACAAACACATTTCCATTTCATTCACATTTTTGTTTTTATTTAAAAAGCTGAATAAAATTATTGACTGGCTGGATCATTATTTCTGAGGTGAAAGGCACTGCAAGAGGGAAGGGAGGCTGTGCATCATGAATTACAAATTCAGAAGAAAACACGAACAAGCAAAGGAGACAGAAAGAAATGTAAATGTTCTGTTTTTGTATAGCGTTTCTCTAGTTACTCAAAGCTCTTTTACATTACATTCACCATTCACACAAATTCACACACTGAGCCTAAGCGCTCAAACAGAAACTAATATTCATACACTGGTGGAACAGCCACCAATTTGGGGTTCAGTGTCTTGCCCAATGACACTTCGACATGCAGCAGGAGATTGAACCACCAATCTTCCAATTAACAGGCAATCCACTCTACCACCTGAACCACAGCCGCCCCTACCCCTAAAGAAGAAAGTGCATGGGTGCATGTGATAGTAAGAAGAAGAAGAGCCATGAGTGGAGTAAAACAGAATATATAAGAGTTTGAGGGTAACAATTTGAATCTATGACCAACAGCAGAGGTCTGACAGGTGGGAAAATAGCGAGTATTAAAAAGCTTGCATGTGCCGGGTATGTTTCTGCGAATATGTGTGCCCATGGCTTGAAAGGGGAATCAAGCTGAAGGATGCATTAAGACCACTAGGAGTTCAGCCACAGAGCTAATATCTACTCCCTCGCTCTCGCTGCCCTCTATCACCTCCTTCCTTCTCCATCTCACCCTAATGACTGCAGGCGAGATGCTCCCCGCCATAATGACAAAGAGGAGACGAGAGGAGAGGACAGGGGGAATGGAGGGAAAATGAGAAAGAGGAAGTTGAATCATGTCACATGCTGAATAATAGTCACAGATAGACTGGTGCATGTTTGTGTGTCCCTGTCCATCATCATACTAGTGTACAGATTTATTCGGACTTTATCATGAAATGCATCTCTTGTGGCTGACATCGATATATTTGATAAAATTGATTTAAGTGTTCTGTTCACAGGACTAAATTTCGTTAAAAAGAACCAGATAGAACATATTTTGCTCTCTGCCTCATCAGCTTGGAACTCCCTACAAAATCTTTGAAAGAAGATCTCTCTTGGCAATTTTAAATCATTGATGATGGTCTTTGAGTCTCTATTACTGGTTATGGTTTGTAATATTAGCTTTGTCAATTATTGTGAATTAAGTTGTTATTGCTTTTTATGATATCTATATTGTTGGGTTGTATTTTTACAACTATTTGGCCGCTATTGGAAAAGAGATTTTCAATCTCAATGAGCCTATCCTGGTTAAATAAAGGTTTAATAAAAACTAAAAACTGTCTATGTGTGTATAGCACATGTCTTTGTGTATTCAGAACAGTACCTTGAGCCAATGTCATTGTGTGCAGCCACTCTGAATGTGTAGCCACAAGCGGGGTACAGTCGTGTCAGCTTATAGTGTCTCTGGTTCCCAAAGAAACATTCTCTGAAAACACTGTTCTTCTTTCCCTGCAGACGAGAGGAAGATGGAATAGAAATGAAAGTAAGATAAGATGAGAATAGTGGGGTAAGATTAATTGCAACAGAATATTGAATATGAAGAACCAAAGAAATATGACAGAGTAAAAAAGTATAAGTAAATAAGAGGGAGAGTGGGGACCGACATGGATTGGAAAGGCATAAAACACAGTCTTATTACATCTTTTCTAAAAAGCTGAATGTTAACATCTGTTTAGTGATGTCTCTGATCGGTATAAGTGCTCTTTTTTAAATTAGGGGAAAGAATGACATCAAGCTCTAGAGACAGACTTACATCATCCCACTCGAGCAGGTAGTTTGTGATTTTGGATCCGTTGTCGCCTGGGGCCTGTGGACGACAGAGAAATGGAGCGAGCGAGGCAGACAAGAGACAAGAGAGAGACGGAGAGATTAGCCATGTATAAAAGAATCTGACACTGAGACAGACAAAACACCTGCCGTGTTTTTTATGGTTGGCCTCATATCCTCTCTGGGTGACTGATGTCACTCTCTATCAATGACAGTGTGAGAAGATCAAAATTACGAAGGGATATGCCCTGGCGACATTGTGCAACAATTCAAGAATGTCTCTCTATTAGGTGCTGTAGGGCTAATAAAGCCAAGCTAGAGGATAAACTAGGTGAGGCAACACATACGGTTTACTTTCATCAAAGAATAAAAGCTTTCTGAAAAGTGTATCACAGTACAAATAAAGTGTGGTAGACACAGACATAGCCGTTGAGTCACTGTGATGTTCATTAGGGTAAATAGTTTTACTGTATGAGTTGTCGTTTACATAAATAGTGTCTGAACATGAAGAAGTCTGCTCCTGTACCTTCCACTGTAGGGTGAGGGTGCTCTTGGTGCGGTGGGAGAGTTTCGGGGATAACGGGACGTCAGGGACGCTGCAGTGTGTGGTGAACGAGCCGGCCTCTGAACACGAGCCTCGAACAGAGTTGTACATTGCAGACACCCTTAAGTGAAAACACAAGAAATTAAATGTTCAAAAACATGGTTAGGTGAAGCTAGTATCTTTAGATGGGGGAAAACCCACAAACCTAACATACAAAACATAGGACTGTTAGCAAAAAAACAGGTACAAAAAGTAGGATAAAACATTATTAGTCAAAAACTTCCTTACCGTACGTAGTAGTCTGTCGCTGGCCTTAGGTCTTTCAGATGGTACTCCAATTCTTCGCCACTGGAACATGCCCACAAACAAAGCATAAAAGTCACACCAATACTTACATATTTGTAGCTGATGCTGTATTCTTTTAACTTGGAGTTTGTTTCCTACCTGTATATAAGGCGATACTTTCCGTCTCGTCCCTTATCTGAGAGAGAGACCTCGAAAGAGCAGGACACAGGCATCCCGTTACTATGCCTGTTCACCAGCCCTGCCGGGGGGGGCCCAGGATAGCCGTGCAGCCCGTGCCTGCACATTGGACACCTGTAAGACAGACATTAACATTTATACTGAATGTTATATTCACAATGAAGCCAAGCATTGTTACCCAGGCACAAAATGTTTCCATGTACGGAGTGTGGAATTTGGTTACCAGATGACAATTTATTACATTTTTATTTGTAAGTGGTCTTTTCTATTTTAGGCAGAAGCAGTTCTACCCCAATGACTATGTAGGTAAAATCCTTTTATAAAAAGTGTGCTCTGTATGTGTGTGTGTGTGTGTATCACAGTAAAGCAATGTGTTACTGAAACCATTACTCCAGATATAGCTGCTCTTTCTGGCTCAGGCACATCCGTGTTGGTAAAAAAGAAGCACATTAAAATGAACAAACACCAAAAAGAAGTCTGCATGTTTGTGTGTTTCACTGTGTGCCCGTCTGTGTGCCTGCAAGTGCGTGCATGTTTATAGGAGCTTTAGTCGCGGCACATGGTGGGTGAGCCAATTTAGCGTGATTTAGCACAGTCTGCTGCTATTCCAGACTCCATATCCACTGAATAGGCGATGAATGTGCCTTGAGGGCACTTCAAACCACAACCATGCCTAGACAGTCTATGAGGAAGACAGACAGACAGGAAAAGACAGAGAGACAGACATGTAATTTTATTAAGAGTTTTGATCATAATGATTAGGTTTTATGTGTGTCCACATGCCTGAGAAAGTCTTTGATGGCAATTTATTCACTCAGTTGGCACACTTTTTCCACACACAAGGCTTCCACGTAATGAATATTCTGATGATGAATGCAACGACACAGGAAAACAGCAACAAACACTAAAACAATGAGACAAAATGATAGGGAGTTCAAAGAAAAAGGCGCAAAGACAGATCAAATGAAAAGGAAAAGAGAATGAAAGGTGGAAATGAAGAATGAAGGGCACCATTTAGAGGTTTGCGGTCCTCTTGCCCCTTGACCCTTAGAGACAACCTGCTCGTCATGTATAAATTATTTCCCTGTTCTCGCACAGGCCACTGAAAGTGAGGTGGTCAGAATCTACTGTATGTCCGTCATCAGTCATCGTCTTCTATTAACTGCCAATGTAGACACCCAAATCTGTTATAACGTCAGTACTGTAATATTCAACTTGTATTCCCATAATAGAAGAGCATTTAAACCATGAAAATGCCTTAATCCAACTATGAATATTAGTTTTCATCACATTTTGTGACATGGCCACAGCCATCCCCAAGGGCTTATACCATGTTAGCATCATAACAGAAATATCAGGTGTAAAGATGAATGCTAGAGGATCCCAATTATTATGTGCATACAAATTTCAAAAATGTGCAAAAATATTAATTAGTAGTGTGTTTAAAATTGCACAATGTGTAGAAAAGTAAAATAAAAACATCTTTTATGGCCCATGCTGATTGTTTGGGATTTTATGCATTCATAGGTAAACACATCAAATATTCAGCAAAAAAGAGAGACTGGAACTGTGGGTGTGACATGAAGAGAGAGATCATGGAGGCATTTGTGCCACATGTCAGGTCATAACTGCAATATGTACACACAATTCCTACATATCTGCTGACTTTTTTATTTAAATTTTAGACCGTTTCCAACATCCTAAGTCTCAAAACAGATGTGTATTAGCAATTTTGGCAGGGCTGCTGAAAGCGGGGCTGTTGATTGACAAGGAGAGAGGTTTTTAATTCCCACAAGCCATGACAGTTACATGACTTTAAACAGTGCAAAATATACAATAGGCTAATTCAAAAGCTGAAGAGGAAAGTAGCTATCAGTATCCATGTTAAAGTATCCATGTTAAAGAATATTTCTTTCTCGTAGCACAAATCTCTTAATTGGTGTAATGCCTTGCTGTAAATATCGGCCATAATCAAAGTGTCTGTGTGCATGTAAATGCCAGTGGTATCATGAGCACCCAGGCCTTTGTTAGGTTGCTACATCTTTCTTAAAGCACAAAGAGCAAAATAGTACAGGGAGAACTCCCGCAGCTTCTCATATTTCAATTCAGCTGAAGAAAATGAAAGCTATTCTATGAAAGCAAACAGTACAACCAGAGAAACAGGGTATATTGTAAAGATTTTTGAATGAAGAACTGTCCCATACAAGCTCTGCCACTGCGACACATGTGATCGCGTCTGTATGGTGCACATCTGAATCCATCAACTCACTGGCTGTCCCTATATACTGTATATATCTATACCAAACTACTGGCTCCTATATAAATGCATTAAGGTAATGGAGTGTCAAAAGTAAAAGAACATCACAACTGCAGTTTATGATACAAAACAGCAAAAACGACACAAGGACATCTCCAAATTGTCTTCCTTTTTTCCCTTCCCTTTACTTCTCAGTATCAACTATAATAAACTTGCTGTAAGAGTCTATATGCAATTTAAGGTTATAACAGCAAATAAATCGCTACTGTGAATCAACCTTGAATCTCCTGAATGGTTCAAAACTCTGCACCAACCTCTTCTTTTCATGTCTTTCCCTCTTCTCTCTCTCTCTCTCTCTCTCTCCCTCCCTCCCTCAACCCCTGTCATAAACTCAGATATCAAATGGTCCAATTGCGCAGCCTGCTGACCAAAACTGCTTAAACTGGAGGTGAGCAATTCCTCTCTACCAAACCATGTCCGCATGGCTCCATCTCATTCACATTCCCCTTGGGGAAGGAGAAAAGGCTGTTAGTGTTTATTGTTTTAGGAGGGAATGACGTGGATGAACAGATGCTGCCCTCATGTGGCCACAGTGAGCATAGCTTAAACGATATGTAGCCTTCCCTGTGGCTTTTATTAAAGTCCTGAAAATGACTTAAAAATGTATATGTATATGTTTCATACACAAGTCACTACAGATATTTTCAGTGCATGCATCTGATTTTATGTTAATCACAGAGACCAGATGAAAATAAAATATAGTAAATGCATCAACACTCATGCCAGCTATAACTGCATCAGACAAGAGATGATTGATGAAAGTGGTTATAAGTGTGTTGGGTTTGTGTGTCTGTGTATTTGTGTGTGTGTGCAGCTGTGGGAGGAGGTGCGCATACCAACCTGTGGTTTGTCGATTGCAGACAGCATGTCTTGAACCCGCTTCCCCTCTGAATCATGATCTAAGGAGAGAGAGAGAAAATATAGTAATTATCAAAGATCAGCTAGTTTTTTTTAAATCAAATATTAGCAAAAAAGAGAGACTGGCACTGTGGGTGTGACATGAGGAGAGAGATCATGGAGACATTTGTGCCACATGCCAGGTCATAATTGCAATCTGTGCACAATTCCTACATATCTGTAGTCTGTGTGCACAATTCCTACGTATATGAATTTGATTTGATTATTACATTTTTTCAAAAAGGAAAGAACATTTCCACCATCCCAAGTCTCAAAACAGATGTGCATTAGCAATTCTGGCAGGGCTGCTGAAAGCGGGGCTGTTGATTGACAATAAGAGGGGTTTTTAATTCCCACAAGCCATGTTACTGTGATATCTAGAAATCTATGGCTCATTACTGTCCAAGGTCAGTCAAAGTTTAACTCGAGATTGAGAAATTGTCGAAAAGTCAGCTAAAATGCACCGTAACTCCCTAATCATCCCTAATATTTTCTGTGTCAATATTCTATCCCGATAGTAACTCAGTCATCTGTGAAAAAACACAGAAATAGCCCAAAATAAGAGTGAAAACAGACCTAAAATCTAAAAAAGTGCATTGTCTAATGGTGTGTGATGCAACACTTGTTTTCTTCAGCAACCGCCTAGTTCATCTCATCAAGTCATGATGAGCACAGCCCTTGGAAAAAACATTAAATTATCCAGCAGAAAAGCATTAGTCACGAATTCCTGACCTAATACAAATAAAACGGGGATCACCAAAAATAAATATATGACTATACATGACTCATACTCCACAGCGTCTATTTTGTTCTGAACATAGAACATGTTGATTATCTTTGGAGGCACTAGTTCATAGAAATCATTATCTTAATCATTATTATGTATCATTTTCAGTCAATTGTCCCCACAGCTGTATATATTTATCCACAGAATGATCTTTTCAGGAGTGGTCAGGAGTGGTGTTGTAGTCCTGCAGTACAGATTGTTATGCATACATTATACTGAATAGCCATATGTATGTAAAGATTACAAAATACAGTTTTATAACTCCACAAGCCTACAAAGAAAAACAGCATTAAGATATTTGTCTTTATGACACAGTTCTTAAGTAGTTAAGTTTCTTCGACTTTTCTTAGGCTATTTTGATTTATATTGATATTCTTACTTTTTATTTTGATTTCACTTGATTATTTGACACAGTTATAGCTGCTATTTCACATGTGTGGTCCCCAGGAGGAGGCTCCACATTGCTTCCTGTGTGGCAGAAAAACACTGTTACCAGAAAAGGCCAATTAGACATCAGATGCACACCAAGAACAAGTGTAATCATTATACATACAGCACTTCGGTCATTCGTGCTGAAACCATTGATTAGTTGACAATCAGGAAATTACTTCAATCAATAATTAATGTAAGTCATTGAGCAAGAAAAACAACATTTAGGTTATGCTGTTTGTCTCTTTTTAATAGCATTGTAAACTCAATATCTTTGGGTTTTGGACTGTTGGTCGGACAAAACAAGCAATCTAATCAGATCATATCGTGCTTAATTATTAATCTGTTAATTGAACAAATAAGCAAAACATCAATTAATAATAAAAAAGAATCATTAACTGCAGCCTAAAGTTCATAAAGGTCACTTATTAGGCATAAAAATACTGCTGTTGTTTCTACTCTAGTAGCTGCCTGTGTTGGGGTGCGGAACAGCGTCTTTGAGAGTGATACTGGGTAGACAATTCCATTGTAAAAAATAAGCACACAAAAACACATCCATGTAGGTCAGGTCTGATCCAGTGATACAATGTGTCTAAATGTAATTTATTGTACACTAGGGGATGTTAGGAGGTCGAGTGCAAGTGAGTGTGTGTGTGTGTGTACACATGTGTGGGTAATTGAAGTCTTTCCCCCCTGTGTGATCTCCGCAGTTGAGGTTTTTCCGACCAGAGGAGGCCTGCTTTCTCCATCGAGTCTGACCACTGTAAATCACACAGGAAGTGTATGTGTGTGTGTGTGTGTGTGTGTGTGTGTGTGTGTGTGTGTGTGTGTGTGTGTGTGTGTGTGTGTGTGTGTACGCTTCAGCAATAGAGGACATGTATGAAACCAAGTCTGTTTGATGTGTTACAGTGGTACAGGACTGAGGAGGATTTGTATCAAATAGATATTCACACACCTATGCACACGTATGCATTACACTTGTGTACAAAGCCGTGTGTGTTACGAAGATCCCTTTACTAAACTATACTTGGGAACAAGTAATGAATGAGAGATTGTGTGTGTGCGCGCAAGTGTGTGTGTTGCTAAGTCCCTCTGACAGGTTCTGTGGAGTAGAGGGCCTTACTTTGCCTGGGGGTACACTTATGAGTCATGGCAACAGTGATGTCATGGAGCACAACCTCAACTTGACCTCCATGTGTGTGTAAATGTGTATGTGTGTGTTAGACAGAATTAAAAAGCAAGAGACAGCAAGTGTGTGTGTGTGCATCCCAGTATCAGGTTACAGGAGATTGGTAATGGCTGATAGGGGGGTTTAAGCTACTGTGTGTGTGTGTGTGTGTGTGTGTGTGTGTGTGTGTGTGTGTGTGTGTGTGTGTGTGTATGTGTGTATGTGTGTGTATGCGTGTGTGTATGCGTGTGTTTATGCGTGTGTGTGTGTATGTGTGTGTGTTTGTATGTTGGGGCTGGCTGTGTGGGTAAAGTTCAACAGGTGAAGTACAAATACTGCATCACAGCTAGACAAACTGGCTCATTAGCGCAATTTATTTTCATACACACAAACACTTGTCCCCTTTCATCCATCTGGACACAAATTAACTTTTCGCTTTTATGGAATAAAGGCACACTCAAACACACAGCTCCAGACATGAGCAGCTAACAGTATGACCCAACTTATTCCACCCATTTATCACAGCTGAGCGAAAACGGAGAATATGGCCTATTTAATACTGCAGTCCTGTAGCTACTTGTCTGGTACAGCTAACATAGTTAAGACAAGAAGAGGTGGAATGCGATTTCAGCATCATTTCAGCTGTCACGTTCAACGAACAACAGATGTTGATAATCAAACAATATGCATAGCTGACAAATAGCTTCATTGCTTTATTGGGAATGGGAGAAATGTATGTTGATGATCTTGTTTTTCTGCTCTGACGGTAAATCGCATTCTGTCATTTCTTTGTTGTTTCCTTGAGACATAGCTTGGTGCTTTTATTGTAATTCTTTTCACAAAATCAATTGTGCACTATTGAGTGAGTCTTCAACTAGAAAAGGTTAAATTTGGTAGCTTATTAAAATAGAGAATTATAAAATAAAGAAGTTTAAACACAGACAGAGACCGTCACTTGTTTAGAATTGAAAGATCACAGATATCAAAACAGGGCGGTAAAATATGATATACGATTCTAAAATCTAAAATACTTTTATATGATTGTCTAAATAAGTAACTGCATAACAACTTAAATATTATAGATTTGTGGTCTTTGGGCCGACTAGAGTACATCTGTTAAGTTATCGTTTTTTGTAGGGTTTTTTTTCCTTTATTTATTGGAAACTGTGATGACAGCAAATTTAGGTCAGTGAGAGATTCTCAACCTCAGTAATTCAATATATAAATTTTTATCATCCAGCTCTATTAAAAGAAAACCCCTCCTGAGCTAACTCCAAACTAAGACTATTCAATGCAGTTGAATGCTCCAGCAAAAGTTAGTTAAGATTCAAGTCCCTTCATTACTTTCGGTACAAATCGGTGTTGATAGGTTCTCAAAATCACACATTGATAGATATCTCTAACAGCGGTGAGGCATATAACATTATATAAAGTTATATGAATGACTACATTCAGTAGATGCCATTCAATCCACTATACAATACTACCTTTAGTTTTACAGTTTAAGCATTTTCCTCCACTTAAAAATGAACTGTCTCCTGACTACAACTGAGTCAAAATATTTTAATTGTGGTCTGCTGGTAGGCAGACTGTGTTACTTCTGGAGAGATGCTGACTGTAGATTCATATTTATTAGACAGATATGAGAGTGGTATCAAAATGTTCTCATCTAACAGGACCAAAAGTAGGAGACCGTTCAGGTTAAAATACAAACCTGAATAACCCTAAGTTACATGGCAACATTTTGTAACTACTTTCAGCCCAAAACAATTCTACACTGAATGAGGCAGACTAATATTTCAGCACAATGAAAAAAAAAGTTGGCTAACCCAGAAACTCAGCTTTTGACAGAAGTAAGAGATTTATTTAATATTTCAGGAGAGCAGTAATAAAGTTTGAAAAACATTACTGCTTTACCTCACTGCTGAGTGTTATGACTCGTTGTGGTTGTTGAGTCCAGCTGCTTAAGTGTTTAATATAGAGAACAACCACAAAGAGTTGATGCTGACGGCTGAAACAGAAACTGAATCTCTTCCCAGTGTAACTCCACACACACACTCCTCTGTCCTCACCGCCCCTCAACTCCTCTCCCTTCTGTTTATGTGCTACCCACGCACGCTCACTTCCTCTCCTCGTCTGACCTCACATCCTGTCTGTGTCTGACCGCCTGTGTTTGATTACTGAGGACAACCAGACAGAGCGAGGGAGCGCAACGGACAGCAGGAAAAGTAGCAGGAATGAGGAACTGGGGGGGGGGGGCAGCAGGCTGAGCCAAAACGAGGCGAGAGGGGGCTTTAGAGGGAGAAAGAGAGACACTGAAGAACAGACTGCTGAGAGAGAGTGGATGGGCAAGAGGAGTCTGGGTAAGAGATTAGGAACAAAAATACAAGGAAATTGAGAGACAAAGAGCGAGCCAGGGATCAACAGAGAGGAGGAGAAACGGAGGGATGAAAGGAGAGAGGGAAGAGAGGGCTTTCAGGATGTGAGGGAAGGATTACACAAACTTTTATGACATCATCAGTAAGTGCAGAGCAGATGCACACCACTGATCTCAATGTATTAGTAGTTATAGTACTAGTCACTGCCTTCGGATCTAGGCTGGCTTTCCTAAAAGGCAC